TTAGTGGGTCTGAAAGAAATGGGTGCACAGCAGGACTTGATCTAGAATCTGTATCATAGACAAGATGTTACTGTTATGCCCGAATATGGAGAAAGAAATGGTTTCCTATGGGCAAACAAGGAAAATTGGATTAGGATCAGAGGAAGAAAGAGTGAAAAATGGCAAAAGATACATCGATAATTTAAGATATGCAGATGATAGCATCTTCCTGGCAGCAAGCAGCAATGAATTGAAATGACTGCTGATGAAAGTGAAAGAAGAAAGCCCAAAAGCAGGACTGCAGCTGAACATTAAGAAAATTATACAATTTAATGTCAACAATGACATTCTTGCTATTGTATTCCCAATCACCATGAGCATGAAGAAAGCTGACAGGAAGAAAATTTATGCATTTGAAAGACGGTGCTAAAGGAGAGCTTTGCAAATACCCTAGACTGACAGAAAGACAGAACAAATAGGTCCAAGATCAAATCAAGCCAGAACTTTCCCCAGAAGCAAATGGGAGCTGTGTTTCAGGCACATCTTGAGAAGACAAGACTTACTGAAAAAGACAGGAGTGCTTTGGAAGATTGAAAGCTGAAGAAAAGGAAGACCAATTAAGAGATGGATCAACTCCATAAAGGAAAGCCACAACCTTGAGTTTGCAAGAGGTGGGCAGGGCTGTCAAGGATAGAAGAATTTAGAGAGCTCACTTGCATAAGGTCACTGTAAGTAGGAGACAACTGGACAGCACGTAACAACAACAATAGAAGTGTTTTTGCATGCAGAAGAACCTAATTTTAATTCCTGGCATCTCATGGGAAAAGTGAGATCTCAGATAGCAAGGTTTGCTAATTTAGATAAAATATTCTTATTTAAAACAAGATATATACTTCAGGAGAGCTTCCGCCAGCCAGAAAGGACCATAGTGGGCTATATGATCCAATAGTCAAACCAAAGATAGCATTTGAACAATAAAACATCTGTTGCTGTGAGAATGGAAGAGAAACATGAAGAAAGACTTGAGGATTGTTATGACAGAATAAAGGGAGAAAGGCGACAATCCAGGGGTCCCTAATACTGTATCTCTAGGCACCATGATACCCATGTGGAACTCTAAGGGCATCCATAAAGGTCTCCACTCCAAGGCTGATATAAGCATTGCTAAATACTTTTTCAAAAATCTCCAACATTTTAGGGTTTCTTCAAGGGTTTTTAAAGTTCCTTGAACAATAATGTTTAAAAGCATTCCAAGTGATACAGTATTTATCCTCCAAGTCACATACACTTCCCCAGTATCTTTTGGTCATTTTAAAGTCTTTCTTAATATCTGTGTTTAGGAGGTTTAAGCTTGAAAAGTGTGCCTGTCTTTTTATTTTTAATCACTGTAGTAGCATATGCTTATACTCCCACCCATAAAGCTCTCGCAAATGGTTAATTAAATGCTTTTATTCATTTCACTTTCTGAAGCTGAAAAGGAAAATCTACTGGCTTAAAAGAAAAAAAAAAAGAATATACTGCCAATCACAATTACTATGTACTTCAATTTTAACAGCTATTATACCAAATAATAAGATGCTGCCATGTAATATATATTACATATTTATTACCTATTTTTTAGCTTGGCACTAACATTTTAGCAACACCAGTCAAAGTTGTCCTACGTATATTACAGGGCAAAATCAGGACACAGGATTAGAAAGCTCAACATTTTCACTGCCTGTGGATTCTTTCCTCAACACCTCCCCCCCCCCGCCCCCAATACAGTTTTTGAGGGCAGTATGACAAGATATCTTTCATGGGACCCACCTCGTGATTATACCTACTCACGGTCATTGTCACCAACTGCTATTGCCCCAGTTCTTCACCTCATCCTAGGGATTGCTTGCATCTCCTCCTCCTCCCTTTCACCTCCACTTGTATTGTCTGGATCAGAGTGAGAGGTGGGTGGACAAGCAGGTTGCAATGGTGAAGAATAAAAGTGAGCTGGGTGAGGGAGAGCTACCCTTGACATTAGCCCCTGCCCTTGCTGAGTGGCCCGTTCCTCCAGCTGGAATCCTGGATCAGAAATAGGCACAACTGCAAGAAAAAACTTAAAAGGTTGCCCCCCAGAGGAGAAGCAGGAGAAGCAGGAAGGATTAAACTCTGACCCTGCCTAGCAATTTGTCTTTACAAATTGCCTCACCCACACATGCATTCATGTTAGCCTGGCAGATGTTGTTTTGCGAACATTTGTTTGCAGCGAATGCTTCTAGATGAGCTGTTCCTAGCACTGCCAATCAAAACGATTATACAATTAGTCTGTCTTGCTTGGGGATTTTTGTTTTGTTTTGGTGTGGTAAGAAGAAATGGGAGACACAATAGGAAAACTCAGAAGAGTTACGAGTGGATACTACCAAGAATGAAACATAGAGTGACTAGTAACAGTTATGTGGAGGAGCAACATTCTGGAAACATTCTTATCATTAAGCAAACCAACCAACCAAGGCTCCCTTCAAAAAATTCACATTTCTAGTTTTTCATTCCATATATGCTCAAAGCTTATAGCAGATGTCCCCAAAATTTTTGTAACCATGGGCACATATAGGAATTTGACAGACTGCTGTGTGCCCCATCACAAAAATGGCTCTTATGTAACCAATGGTGGTCTAGCTAGCCAGGGCTAGGGAGAGAGTGAAAGAAGAATAGGAACAAAGAAGAGAAAGAGAAAAAAAAGTGAAGAGGGGAGTTGAGTAGAAAGAAGTAACAAGGCTAAAGGGTTTGGTTAAGTAAAATATGGCCTTCTCTCTGTGGTTTGTTTATAGTTGTATGCAAACTGGTAAGCCTAATTTGTTCATGAACTACCTGGAGTTTGAAGCACTGGATTGTTGTTAGCTTATAACTCTGGTTTGTTAGATAATCTTGTTTAACACATAGCAGTAAACATAGCACAACAGGAATTCTGTAGTTTGTGATACATGGATCCTTGTAGCCCCAGAACCCTGGCTTAACATTGCATATAAACCAGACAAAAGAGTTCTGTTTGGTTTTGTTTTCTATGAAGCAGCTTACATAGAGATGCCACAACCCAAAGAAGCTATTGATTGATGTGCAAATGAAGATTTCTTCAAAGATTATCCTACATCCATTCTGAGAATTGATGAAATACACCACTTTTTACACAAAAGAGAAACGCACCTCATTGGCAGGACGGACTGATTCTGTACCATTTGACACATAGCTCCAAAGACACTATATTCATCACAGTTACTATATAATTAAAAGTTTGCTAATTCTTTTAGTTGTTTTGTGATATAGCTTTTATAGGAAACATGGTGTTTCTTGTTTATTCTTTGTTTTCTGTATTGCTATTGCTTATTAACCTAATGAAGGTGAAATTTGTGCTATAAAGGAGCTGATGCTAATCTGTGAGCATTGTTGATGAATACTGGTAGTGCCTTAGAAGAAACACCATTCATTAGGACTGCTTTAGTTCTGAAAAGAGTGCCAACTTAAATTGTGCCAGAAAGGAAAAATATTTTCCTGAAATGGATTTAGTTTAAAAAATATGAACATCAATGTTGTATTTCATAGATTTAAGCAGAAACACAGTTTAATCAACTAAAGCACCTATACAGAATAGCATTACTTACCGTCTTCAGCTTTTCATGGAGTGCAAACTACTAAATAATTGAAGGTGATCTGACTTCATTCTCCCCACCCCATGTTCTTCCATTTTTTACTTATATTTATGTAAGATGTAAAGGTTTCTAATGTAGCTCTTCTGGGCTGTTAAATAAGCCCATTTCAGTAAAGGCCACCTTTTCACAGCTGTGATAGAGGCTAGGTTGACACAATCAAAATGTGTTTATACAATCAGCTACACTTCTCTGTCATTTTTCGACAGCTGTGTTTTCTCATAAAGGTCTCACTGTGTGGTCAAATTACAATCTAAATGTGTTCAACAGTTCTTAAGAACTGGTGGCATTTTACATGATGCTAAAAAGAGACTTGAGTAATTTGTGCTGTGTGTGTGTGAATACAGGATAAGAAGCATAAATGCACCAATTTTTAAATAGGAAGTACTTTTGTAGCTTGCCTAGAGGCTCAAGACTATCACTGTGGACTGTAAGCTAAGTTTGGGATACAGACAGACATTACTTTAAACCTGCAGTTTTATCTTCATTTTTATTCTAGAGGAGGTGCAGTTCCCTCAGTCTGGATCTTAAAAGCCCCCTACTGTCATGTTATGATCCCAATCCCAACTGGGGGACCTGTACATATTCCAGAGGAAAAATGAGAAGATGGTGAAAAAAATGAAGCTGCTAAATATAAATTTAAAGTGATGTCCCTTTTGGCCATTTTATCCATCATTTTTAGCTAAAGTTTCTCAGATCCTGAGTTTGATGGGAGCAAGTAGAAGGTTTCAAAGGCTTCTTCTATTACAATAATGTAGCTAGGAATCATTTTGTTCCACTGACCATGAAACTCTTTAAAGTTACAAGAGACTCCCAGAGAGTGGGTCTGACAGCCCTATGCCTTTAAGCTCCTTGCTGTTTCATGATGCAATTCATAGCAGCATGTGTATAGTTTAATGTTGCCTAGATTTGTCAGTCTATAAGAGAGCAGAGGAAGATGTATGCATCTGTCAAAACATCAGCTAACTACTTCATCTTTTTTTTTTTCATTTGCTATGGAAAAAAGTCAACACTTGTTATTACATTGGTATAGTTAAAAAGCTACCATTCTTTCAGGGGAAATCTCTCCCTTTCCAATTCAGACTTTAGTGATTACACAGATGAACACATGTAGTGCAATGTTACAGCATTTTCCTTATGGGCTAAAAGACCAGCCTGAGTAAATGAAGTGGGTTTGATCTAATTCTCTGCTAGGGCAGATGGATTAACATTCTGCCATCAACACTACATGGCTGATAAAGTGATGTCTGACACCTGTCTTTCACTACTTATAAAGTTACAAAAATGATAAATTAAGTACTTCTGAACATTTTTCTTTTTCATTTTCTGTGTTTCCCTCCCAGGATGAATAAAAGATACTTACAGAAAGCAACAAAAGGAAAACTGCTAATAATAATATTTGTTGTAACATTGTGGGGAAAAATAGCATCTGGGGCAAACCATCACAAAGGTAAGATACTAATTGCATTGCATGTATTGTACTTATGTGGCGTCACTTTACAGATTTGTTAAGAAAAAATGATATAACTTTAAAGTATTTTTTGAAATAACATAACACAGTGCAATTGTTCTTGTTCTTATATTTTGGTTAATGCATACATCAGTATTGAGAAAAGTTTGCTATATGTGATGTTGCTTCAGTTTCCTGCAGTTTATTTTTAAAGTTATGCTACACACATGTTGTTTAATGAATTTCTTTTTTCTTTATCGCTGTATTTTCTGTTTTATCTGAAAATGCTAAATTTGATAACTGAGTAAGGCTATAATTAGAGTAGTTTCTCATAAAAATTATTCATCAAAGTGTACATGTGGATACTATAATTGAGTTCATGAAATGAACCCCATAAAAAATATTTCTCAGAAACACATGTGCTGCTGTAGTCTCCAATAATTTCACAGATGGACTTGTGAATAGGTGTACTCAGCAGCTTTGTTCACTTAGTAAAACCTAAGAATTCTTTTTTCTCCTGTGTCTACAGAAACAAGGCTGTTATTTTTTGGCAAAGCACTTCTTCATGTGGTATTAAAGAACTGTGCTTAAAGTTTGAAAGGTTCAGCTCTAGAGGCAGTTAATTGACCCATCCCCACCGCACTCTTTTTTTCTCTTTCTTTTATAACTAGGAACCATACTCCAAAGAAGAACATCCCTTGAATTATGAATTAATAGATAGAAACCCACCAGTTTTCCCTTAATCAAAAGAAGCTGGAGATGCTAATAATAGTTTTTAGTTATACAAGTTTATTTCTTACTTTGTGGGTTCTGTATATTCTTCTAGTCAAGCTTTGAAAAACTGCATAGTGATTTAATTAATGGTACTGCAAATAAAAGGGCAGGGAAGATGGCATGAATTAGGATGAGATATTGAAAACTGGATGGATATGGAAAACCCATGATTGAATCTACTATTTCCATTTTTTGTAAATGTAATTGCTGAAGTGCGGAGGAGAAGGAAAATGTAACTAGAGTTGTACTGGCAGGAGATAAGTTTCTAAATTCTTCCATAGGCACCCAGCTGCTGTTTTCCTGATTAATTAGCAAATCTTGGAATTGCTATGAGAATTTCAGTTATTAGATGATATAGAAATGTAATAGATGGATAATTTCCAGTGGGAAATATTTGACCCACTGCCGAAAACATACGGGTACATAGAGGCATGTAGTCTCCATTCATGCCAGGTCCTCTTATGCCTACTTGAGAAAGAAATAAAATTCTGTGAAATACAATCATGGACTTTTTATATGTTGTCTTGATGGGCTCCAGAACAAATGATTACATGTCTATAATGCAAAGTATGTTTTATAATGTCAAAACATGAAATGTCAAATAAATGGTTAGTCAGAGTTACTGAACTTCTGGAGCAATGTCTTTAAAATACATAAAATGCTTAACTTTTTAAATTACCAAAGTATTTTAAATAACTGAATTATTGTCTTAGATGGACTATATGCAACTTTACATTCACAGAAAAATTACAATTACAGAACTGCTAATAGAGCAAGTAACACATGCATCACATTGCTTTATGAAGTCATGACGAGTTGCACAACTTCTTAAGAATGCCTTGTGAAACAGCTTGGGCAACATTTTGAAGAATGATTTGCAGAATGATTTTTTTTAGCAAGGTATCTGACTACCGTGTGTTTGCTCGTACTGTCTTCCTTATTTTGCTCTGCTTGAAATGCAGCTTATAATTATTGATTATCGATTGCAAGTAATTCTAACCTTCCATTGATTATCATATTGGCTTGGATTCAACAAGTCTTTTTAGAAGCCTTAGCAAGTACAGTGTGGCTTCTTTTCCCAAATAACAGGTCCTCATACTCTGTTTCATTTCACTCATTTATGACATTTCTATAGTACCTAGTATCCAAAGCTACATAAAAACATGAACATGTGCACACACACACACACTTTTTACACCCAACAATGGACATCTGAGGACCTGTTAAAAAGCTTATCATACACTGTCAACTGCCTGACAGCAGAGGAAGATCTTAATGTGGCACTGAAAAAATTACAGTGTCGGCTTCAGCTGGGGCCCTGTTGTGAGCTAGTCCTGTCCCTTCTTTCCAGATTCTAAAACTCAAGACAATCCTTTGAAATGCAGTTGTCTCATTCAAACTCTGCAATTGAATTCTTTTATGGAAAGATCATATATTAACTAATATTCTTCTACCAAAGCTGGAAGGAGAATCCTCTGCTCACGTAAAGAGTTGAATCCAAACTGGAAACTTGCCCATGGTCCCTCCTTTTCAGTGAGCCTACTGGCTCCACCCTCAGGGGGCTCTTGCTGTTGGAGAGCAAGACTGTAAGAGCAATGGAGCCCCTCTGGCTCTCCTAATGTCTCCTTACTGGGTCAAGGACTGGGTCCTGCATATGGTCCATCTCCCTCCCTGAAAACCCTTCCACCTCTTCCAAAACAGATTGACTTTCATGCACAGTGAGAGAAACTTCACCAAGCAACTTCGAAGGAACTTCAAAGGGTTCAGATCTCCTTTGCTCCTGTGCCACCCACACTTCCACTTCAGAACCTGAAGATGAATCCCACTGCACAGTCTGCAGTGAGCAAGAGCCTGGCCCACTCTCTGCAGCCTCATTGGGAAAATTGTTCTATAAATAGGGGCTATCACAGAGAAGACCTGCTCTGGTGTAGGTTTATGCTGGGACAGGTCCTCCACCAGATATTGTGGTCCTAACCTGGGTAAGGCTTTATAAGGCAAAGACAGCGATTTGAATCAGGCTCAGAAATGCACAGGCAGAAAAAAAAATCGATATACATTCAGATCTTCAAGTCTTCATGATCGATTTTCCTCCTATTTTGCACAAGCTATGGCTACCAAACTATCTGGAATGGCAGCCCTGTGCAGATGCATTGTGCTAATCTAACTCAGTGTTACCAGAGCACAGACTACTGAAGCAAGGCCATCTCTGCCCCAAAAGGGTCATAGCTTGCCCACGAACTGAAGCTGAGAGTAGGCACCCAGAGCCACTTAGGCCTCCAGAGCACGGTTGCAGGTTCCTTCCAGGAAAGTGCAACCCCATCCAGAACAGTCAACATAAGATGACCAGTCTTAAACCAACAGGTATTTGATAACTGGGTTTCCTTGGTTTTTAAAGAGTAAATTTACTGTAACTGAACACTCAAACAGAAACAAGGTGTTAACTCAGAAGATGTGTACAGATACACCTTTACATGTTCAGAATAGTGTAAGCCTGCATGCCAGTTTTCCTTTTCCTTCCTCTCTCCATCAGTGAAAATGATTCCTTCAGCCTTTTGAATTACACCACTGTCATCTCACTTGACAGCTCCCTGCAACTCCTTCTGTCCGAGTACTGCCAAGAGTGGTGGAATTAAAACACAGGATTCTACTGGCACCATTCTAGCTTCAGTGAAACTGAGCGTGTCCAACATAAAGTTGCCAGCAGTAGCTGTCCTAAGCTTTGATAGACCAGAAAAACCTTGATAATTGTTGTGCTTCTGGTCAGAATGAAAAATATACCTGAATAAAAAATAGAAGTGCTTTCCCTCAGAATTTGAAAGAAATGCATAATAGAATGAGTCAAAGCTTGAATAAAAAAAATTGTCAGTTTCCAGAATGTTTGAATGCACTGTATCTGTGGTAATTTGAATAGTTTGACAGTTTTCAATAATGTAGACTTCATCAGGTAGAATTATAAATGCGAAGTGTCAGGTTATTAGCTTACAAGGGTCAATTCTGTAAGCAATAGAATCTGTGGCTTATAATGACAGAACTGCTGTCTGTCTGTCTGTCTGTCTGTCTTGCAATTTCACCTTCACGAAAGGGTCACTAGTGTGACTTTTTAATGAGTGAGATTTGTGAAGTTGCTGTGATTGGAGGAAGGGAGGGAGAGTTTCTGAGGCAGTATGGGTTGACAGATGAGAGAAAAAACTTGATAAAAATTACTTCATTATGTATTTTCTAGATTCATAAGTAAAAGGAAATATCTTCCTAGCAAATGTGGCCAACCTATACTGTGAAAGGCAGGGGCAGTGGAAAAATGGGTCCCACTCAGAGTTTCCAACATTTTCATTTGATTTTGGTGCCACCATGACACACAGAATTTTACCTGATGAAGCTTTTCCTACTCATTATACGCTACAATAGGAAAAACAAAACTTTCTTAAAGTCTGAAGGCCAGGCTGCTATTTGCTGCCATTGCAAGGGCAGTAAAAAGTGGACAGGCCTCTTTGTTGCTCTGTTGCTTGCTCCCCAGTTCATCTGACTAGAGGAAAAACATACCAATAGGAACATTTATATGGATTGAAATGGTACATTTTCATACTTCGGATGTGACTTCTTGCACATATGTCAAAAATATTGGCCACCTTTGTAGTAAAACCTGCCAAGGAGAATGTGTGTTTGTGTGTTACCTGAACAGCTACTGGGAACAAACATCGGAAGCTGTGATATGCTGACTTCGGCATGAGTTGTGTCAGCTGTTTAATGCAACTGGCTGAGCACAGAGTAGCATTATTTAAAATCAGCATAGAGAGATGAACACCTGCAGCTGCCACAGACTCAAAGGAATGTATGAAAATAAGATGACTAAATTATTGTTAGAACTCTTCATTTAAATTTAACGTAGCTTAGAATCCTGGTAGCACTTGTTGGTTCAAGAAGCTCTAGCATTTTTCAAGCATGTGGACAACAAAATATTTTCAGTAGAAAGTCATGTGGGACCATTTCTTATATTTTTGCCATGTGGCTAAAGAAGGAACAAGTATTGTCCCACCAGGCTACCGCATGTTGTGTTTTCAGTATATGGAAATATGATTTGTCCCACATGCCATTTTTCAGAACAAACATTGTTGGACTTTACTGTTTAGTAGATAATACTTGCCAGCTTCACACCTGTGCTGTGGTTCTGCAGATGCGTAGAACTAAAGGGAAAAATACCTTCACTTACAGCAACCACATAATTAGAA